TGCTCCAGGGCCGTCTTGGAGGCCATCTTGGGCGTCTTAAAGGCCTCCTGTGCCGTCTTGGGGGCCGTCTTGGGGCCCTCTTGGGCCGCTCTGGGGCCATCTTGGAGGCCTCTTGGGCGATCTTTCGCTGATCTTTGGTGGCTCTTGGGCCGTCTCGGGCCGTCGGAATGCCGAAAAGAAGCAAATGTCAAAATTTCTCAAATACCTTCGGACAATTAATGTTTTTGGCCTCTTCTGGCCTTCCTGGAGGCCTTCTTGGGGGCCACTTGGGCCGTCTTGGGTCAGCTTTGAGCCAACTTCGGCAATCCTGGTGGGTTCCTGGCACGTCTGACGCCGTCGGGAGCCGTCTTGGGGGCCTTTCTGGGCCGACTTGGGGCCCTCTTGGGGCGCTTCGGGGCCGTCTTGGAGGCCATCTTGGGCGCCTTGGAGGCCATCTTGGGCGTGTTGGAGGCTTCTTGGGCCGTCTTGGGGCCCTCTTGGGGCCGTCTTGGAGGCCACTTGGGCCGCATGGGGCCCTCTTCGGGGCCTCTTGGGCGATCTTGGGGGCCTCTTGGGCCGTCTTGAGCCGTCGGAATGCCGAGAAGAAGCGAATCCCCAAATCCTTCAAAAACCTAAGGAACATCAATGATTTTGGCATCTTCGGGCCCTCGTGGAGGACCTCTCGGAGGCCTCTTGGGCCGTCTTGGAGGCCTCTGGGGGGCCTCTTGGGCCGTCTTGGGCCGTCTTGGACTCTCTTGGGCCATATTGGAGGCCATCTTGGCCATCTTGGAGGCATCTTGAGGGTCATCTTGGACCATCTCGGAGGCCATCTTGGGCCAACGTGGCCATCTTGGCACGAGCCATCTTGGAGGATTTGTTTCCGGATTGAGCGCCAGGGTTGTGGGTCTGAGGCCTCTTGTCATGTGTTGGGGTACTGTGGGGAGCTGCTCGGGGGCCTCTTGGAGGCAGTTTGGGCGCCTCTTGGGGGCCTCTTGGTGTCTCGTGGGGTATCTTTTGGATCTCTTGGAGGCCTCTTGGGCGCGTGTTGGGCGCATCTTGGGGCCTTTTGGAGTCTCTTGGCGGCCTTTTGGGGCCTCCTGGGGGCTTCCCGGGGCACAAATATCGAATGTTCGGTTCTTGGTCCCCTGCTTTGGCCCCTCTTGGGGCCGTCCGGGGGCCTACTTAGGCCGTCGTGAGCGCTTCTTGGGCCATCTTGAACCCTCTTGGGCCGTCTTGGGGCTCTCTTGGAGGCGTCTTGGGCTGTCTTGGGGCGGTTTTGGGAGATTTTTGAGCCGTCTTGGAGCGTCGGAAATCCGAATGTGCGAGAAGGCCATATCCTTCAAACATATTCGTAAAATCTACGACGGTGGCCTCTTGGGGCTATTTCGGGAGGCCTCTTGGAGCGCTTTGGGGACCTCTTTGGGCCCTCTTGGGCCGTTTTGGAACCATCTTCGGGCGCCTTGGAACCTTCTTGGCGTCGGCAAAGCGAACCTGGTGTAATCTGCAAAGGTTTAGGGCTTCGGGGACGCGAACTTTGCGTAATGTACGAGGACTTGTTCCCTCGGGGACGCAAGCATTGACTCATTTACGAGGGTTTGTGGCCTCGGGGTCGCGAATATTGCGTAATCTACGAAGGGTTCCTCGACGAAGGATTATGGCCTCGGGGGTGCGAATCACATGTATTGGTACATGTCCCGAGCCCCCCCCCAGGAAAATCAGAGAACGCGATCCGGGCGTGGTAACAGGGTCCTTTGGCCCCCCCCTCGCGCGGACTCAAACAATTTACAGCAAGAAGCAGAAAGCAGGACTATAACCTTGGAGACTTGAAACTGCAACTGGTGCAGGGAGCAGCACACTTCGTCCTACAGCCTGGTGGCCCCACGAGGGGGCCAGCTGATTATTACCCAGCGGCCTCCCGCAATTTCGCCACCGCGCCAGCGCAGCACTCTGGGTGGCAACTACCAGCGAGGCGCCATGGCCGCCCAGGGGCCCTGGGGAGGAGGGGCGATGCACGCCACAGGGCCGGATCAGAGGCCTGTCAGACAGCACTGGCATTCTTCCAGCCTCAGGACCGTCAGAAAACGACTCGGGATGAACGACCAGCCTTGGGGGCGGGGTTCAGACCTGGGGGGGTCCACGCTGTGCACGCATCACGACGGCGGATCTGGCAGTTAGGGGTTTTCCCAGCTTCTGGGGCCTTCGGGCTCAGGCGACGTGGGCAAAAATCACGCCGGCCAGTCTGTGGATGTGGTCGACTTCTGGGGTCCGTCTCCTGGCTCCAGTGCCGTCAGGAAACCGCTCGGATTGAAAAGCTGGCCCCAGGGAGGGGGTCGAGATACCGGGTGGCCGACGTTACGAACAGCAAGTGCAGTGGCGGAGGAGGAGGTTTGGATTCCTCCGGAGGTCTATCGCCGCCGTCGACATTTTCCGCCGCCGTCGTCGTCAACGAAGAGGGGGATGAGGTGGGTGATGGGGAGGGGAGGGGAGGGGAGGGAGGAGGGGAGACGGAGAGGAGGAGGAGGAGGAGGAGGAGGAGGTGGAGGAGGAGAAGGAAGGAAGCCGTGGAGGGAGTATGAACAGAAGGTAGATGAGAGGGGATTGCATAAGGAAGGGGAAGGAGAGGAGGAATAAGAGGACGGGGAGAAGAAGGAGTGAGGATCGGGAGGGAGAGCAATGAGGAAGGGGAGGATGAGGAGGATGATTGGAGGAGAGAGATGATGGATTCTGTGGAGGATGAGCAGGCAGAGGTTGTCCTTGGTGGATATTGGTTGGCGCCGCGGGCACAAGCCTTTTGGCGGCATCTCCCACTAGGGCATGGTTGTCTCGCCGACGGACCGTTTCGTCCAGACCGTCCGACGGACCGCTTCGCCGGCGGACCGCTTTGCCGAGGACCGCTTCGCTGCCTCGGCGAACTGGTCCGCTGGCGAACGGGCGAAGCGGTCCGCCAGCGCAACGGACCGCAGGCGAAGCGGTCATCCGCGAGCCTGTCGTCGGCGAACCTGTCCGCCAGCGAAGCGGTTCAGGCGAGTCGATCCGTTGGCGAGTTGGTGTTCCTTTTCAGGGATGGCTACAGGGACAGCTCACCTCGTGTCGCGGTGGTCGAGCACCGCAGCGTCAGGGCAGCTCGGTCCTCCTCCTTCCTCCTCCGCCTCCTCCGTTGCGTCCGTTGTGTGTAATGGCTGGCAGAGCCATCGGGGTGCCCACACAACGCGATTGTCCGTTGTGCCTTCTTCTCCCTCTCCTCCTACCCCATGGCCCGCTATCGTCGCCCCCCATCGCGACCCCCCATCTTGGCCCCCTATCGAAAGTGCGCAAAGCTGTTTAGGGTCTTTGCCGCAATTGTGCCGTGTGTGGTGTTTGTTCTGCATTTGTGCCTCGTCTTTGTGTCTTCCACTTAAGTCTGTCATCATTCTTGCCGTCATGTGTCAAGGACGCGAGGCAGGATCGGAGGTTGGGGGGTGAGTCCGACGTGAAACGGAGACCCCCCCTACCGGGAAATCAATTTCGGGTTCGGGTTCGTGTCGTGCGTGCCGTGCGCGCGTGTGGGCGGGGCGAAGCTGCGTGGCCGGGCGAGAGGAAATCCTCCGGTGGCTGGGCGCGGCCGGACCAACTGTAACTCCTCCGGCGGCTGGTGCCCCGCGGTGTCCCGTCCGGCGGCCAGTGCCCCGCGGTGTCCCGCCGGTGTCCCGCGGGTGTCCCGCAATCCTCCTGTGGCTGGGCCGCGGCTGGGCCGAAAGTCTCTCCACCCGGCAAGCGGTGCCCCGCGGTGTCCCGCTAGTGTCCCGCTGGTGTCCCGCGTGGCTGCGGCGAGCTATCCAATGCAAGTCTACATGCAAACCGAAAAGCACATCGAAATGCAAATCGACATGCGCATCCAAATGCAAATCGTAAGGCGCCGTGGGTTGCGTATTAAAAAATCGGCGCCTGCGGCGAGCTTTCCAACGCAAGTCGACATGCACATCGAGATGCAGATCGAAAAGCAAATCGACACGCACATCGATATGTCGACATGCAAATCGAGATGCAGATCGAAAAGCAAATCTACATGCACATCGATGTGCGCACCACAGGAATCATCATAACAACAGTCACCACTGTTGCCCATTGCTGCCGCTCCCCCAACCTTCTTATCACCCGCAGGGTGGTCGTATGGGTATAAGGTGTTATCGGGGAGTATATCGGCCTTGAAGCCGTGGCATGCCCGATCGGCTTTATCGTCATCTCGGCGGGTTTGGGGGGATCATCGGGGTTTCTGCTTTGAGTTCCGGTGGCCTCGGCATACGGGGCCGCGGTGGGCCATCTCTCTTTGATCCAAACAACCGAAAATTTCAAGGGTTTCAGCGGTTTGGTCGGTTCGATTGCGTCGCAGTCGGTTACATTCGGTCGATTCGGTTCGGTAGGTTGGTTGGGTCGTTGACGCGTGGCTAAGCCGTATCTAGGTTGCCTTCGGCCTTTCGGTTCCGTTGTCGGTTGGGTCGGTTTCCGATTGTGTTGTCGTTGGGGCTGGGCTTGGAACTAATTATGACCATTTCAAACGATAAGAATGAGGGTCAGAACGGTAGCATCGGATGCAAACCCTGGGGCGGTGAATTCAGCATCGCTGCTGGTAGATCTGTGATCGAAGATTTGCCTGATCAAATCCCGTTTTCTCTGGCCTATATCCCGCTCGATCTTTTTTAATCCGGCTTCGTCCTGACCCTCATTTGGGCTAATCCAGCCGTTTCGCCCTTTAGTCAGGCTTGATAGCACTCAATCCCTGACATCCGCCGATCGGATTTTTCGATCCGCAGCCCGACAGGTCCCGGCCGCTTCCACGGGGTGGTTTTTCGTCATGGATCCATGTTTAACGGTCCCATTGGCCAAGCAGCGGGCCCCGACGGACATCGAGGGAAATCGTCGGGAGCAAACGAAATCTTATCGTCGGAGACCTGAGAACGCTCTTACAAAGACATCCCAGCAGTCGTCTCCGAACGCAGCAGCAGCAACGATGTCATTCCTCCACCCCCGCGGTGTGCAACGAGGTGCGCCGCAGGGCGGCCGAGCTCCGCTCCGAGGCGGCCAAGGCCACGGCTCGCCGCCGCCGCCGTGGTGGACGACGCCGACGTCGACTTTGGGGCCGTCGGCGTCGCCGCCGCCGCCGTTGTCGTCCCTGAGATCCTGGCGTCGCAATTTTGTCGCACCCAGCGGTATTGCCTTGTTTCAAGCCTCCGGGGCCTCACGGATCAACCTGGCTTGAAACATACAACAGAAAGATGGGTCCAAGGCTTTGGCCGATGTTTTACGATGTTGTATTTTTGCTCGTGGTGTCGGATCTGATCTCCAGGGTCGTCGGAGTCTTCGACGGCGTCGTCGTTGTCGTCGTCGCCGTCGGGGTCGTTGTCGGGGCCGTTGTTCTCGTCGCCGCCGTCCGCCGCCGTCGACTCCGTCGTCAGTTTTTTTGCCAGCGTCGTCGTAGTCGTCGTCGATGTGGGGGTCGTTGCTGTTGGTCTCGTCGTCGTCGTCGTCGTCGCTGCCGTCGACGGGCTAGTGGCAGTCGTCCAAGTCGGCGTCGGCAGCGTCGTCGTCTTCGGAGCCTACATCGGGGCGTCGGGGCCTTGCAGGCCGTTGGGCGTCTCGTCGCCACGCCTGGACCCCCCTCCGAAATTCTTGACGCTTCGGGTATCCCCACCAGCCTGATCTCCTGGCAGCTGACGCAGCGTACTGTTGGTTGCCTTCCTGGCCACGTCCTGGTACCACCCCCGCGCCATTTTGGCTGCGCTCCAACCCTGGTTGGTTAATCGTGCATGTGCGCGCTCCTGGACCTGGTCCCTGGCAGCTGCAGCCCGCACCCCCCCTCTCGCTGGCCCGCCCGCTTAGGCGCTGCTTAGGTCGCCGGCCCGCCGGCGTTAGGCAATTTGGCTCTTGCGCGGCCCGCTCGGACCTTACACGCCGCTGGCGCTCTCGCCTGCGGTTGCGGCGCAAAACAAATCCCCACCAGCCAAGAAACATATCGCCAGGCGAGTTACTGTGATCAGGGTAGTGTAGACGCATGCAGTGTAACAACCCTCTTGGAAACGTTTTCTCGAAGGCCTCTTGGGGCCATCTTTGGGCTCTCAGAGGGTCCTCGCGGAGCCTTTTGGGGCACTCTTGAAGGCCTTTTTGAGCTCTCTTGGGGCTTTGTTGGGGCCCTCTTGGGGCTCTGTGGGGTGGTCTGGGAGGCCTCTCGGGGCCGTCTTGGGCCCCATGGCTCCAAAAGAGGCGGGCAATGAACTCAGGACCCCCCCCCGAGGCTCAACAATTATGTCTTGAGACTTTCGTCGGGCGCCCTTGGGCGCTCCTGGGCCCCTCTTGTGTCCATCTTGGGGCTCTCTCTCTTGGGCCGTCTTGGAGCCATCTTGAGGCCTCGAGAGCCCATCGAAAGCGAACCGGCGCGAAGGCAAACAACATTGATTTTCCGTTGGTTGTTGAGGGATTTGGGCCTCTTGGGGGGCCCCTGGAGGGCTCGGAGTGCACTTGAAATTGTCTTGGGGCTGTGTTGAGGCCTCTTTGGATGTGTGTCGGAGGCTATTTAAATCCATTTCGAGGTATATTGAGCCATCTGGGAGGTCACTTTAAACTCTCTGAGGCCCTCTTGGGGCCATTGTGGGCCATCTTGGCCGGTCTAACTATCCGCGCGCCCCCCTCCCAAACCCAGGCCCAGGGGATAGGGGGAGAGGTCAAGACACCACCCCCCATAGAGAGTAAGCCGTCTAGTTCACTCTCACCCGCCCTCCCAACACATCAGTAACACCCGAGCCTCAGCGTGTTCAGCGGCCGTCTTTGGATGGACAGCTATTGGGAACCACAACCGAACCCATGTGCGCGACGCTAGGAGGGTGATTCTTTATTGCTTCCGGCATAATGGGCATTATAGCCTCCTGACACTCCCCCCCTATAACGTAACGCCCTTCCCCCCCAGTGCGCTCTGGGCGCTGCCGCCGTGCGCATCCGGATCTCCATCGGCATCCGCATAGAAGTCCGCATAGGAGCCTGGTCCGCATTGGGAATCTTATGGGGATCCGCATAAGGAGGAGGAGGAGGAGGAGGAGGAGGAAAAGGAAAAGGAAGAAAATGATGATGAGGAGGATGATGTGGATTTGGAGGTGCATATGCAGGTGGCGAAGGAGGGACAAGGGAAAAACGTCGCACTCTATTCTCAGCACCTCTCTGGCGTGGCGTTTAGGTGTCCGCAGCAGATCCTCACTTACATGCTCGTTCTATCTATCCTGTGAACGCAGACGCTGTGGTGTTCACCAACGGTGCGTGCACAAGGAAACTGTGGTGTAGACAGGCGCTGTGGTGTGCACCAGCGCTGCGGTGCACGCAAGCATTGTGATGTACACAGGCGCTGTGTTGCACATGGTTGCTGTGGTGTTACACATTCGTTGTGGTGTACTCCGGCGCTGTGAAGCACGTAAGAATTGTGGTGTGCACAGGCGCTGCGTCGCACACTTTTTTACAATCCAGTGGGGGCCCAGCGGCAAGAACAGGTGGCGAGCAGACGCGGAAAAACCAGAAAAGGAGGCGGCGGAGGGGAGGAGGAACGAGGAGGGCGAAAAGCGCGCCCGGCGAGCGCGCGGGACAACGGTTGCCCAGGGCAGCCGCCGCGAAGCTAATTCCACCTAGTTGGCCTGGCGCCGCCGCGCCCTAGTCGGGGGGCCCGGGCGCGCCGCCTTGCGCTGCCTCAAGACCCCGCGCCAGACAGCCTCGGCGCCGCCGGCCCGCGCGGGCGGGAACAGCATCAGCGCGGCCGCCTTCGGCGGCAGGATGGGCACCCAGCCTGCGCACGGACGACTCGCGAGGCGCGCCCAATCCAGGGCCCAGCAGCCGCAGCGCAAACAGGCGACCCAATTGGGCCCCTGCGACGCCGCGTGCGCCCTCCACGCCCCGCCAGCGAACATCGCCCGGGCAGCAGCCGCCGGCCTAGGCCGCGGCGCGACGCCCAAGCCCCCCCTGCTGCTGCGGGCTGCCGCGCCAGCGCGGCGGCTACGGCAGCGTTATCGGCCACGCGCGGCGCTCTGCGGCGCGGGGGCCCTCCCCAGCAGCGACGCACGCGAGGCCCCTCTGGGCTGCGGCTGCCATGGTTGGCCGTGACGGCCTCGAGCTCGACGGCGGCCAGCATCGACTGCAGCACCCTGACGGCGTAGAGCTGCACGAGCCGCCGTTGCAGCAGGGCCGCCGCCGGCAGGCGAGCCTTGGCAGCAGTGCCAGCCAGCCTGTCAGCTGCCGCATTGCCGTGGCGGTCCTTGGCTGTCATGCCGCGCGCCGCCGCCCCCTCGTCATCGAGGCTCCCCTTCACCCAGCGCGCGATGACGAAATTGGTTATGCAGTGAGGCGCCAGGCGCTCCCACAAGTCCGCACGCGCCCAGTCCCAGGCCGAGGCGCCCTCGCGGATTGCCGCGATGCCATGGGCCACGAATTTGGAATCCGCGATGGCCTCGACTGGCTGGTCGGCCTCGCTGACCGCGCGCAGAGCGGCGGTCAACTCCGCGCGTTGTGCGGTTTGCGTCCCGCCCACGGGCCCGCAATGCTCCGCGCGCGTCGTGCCATGGGCCGCCGGGCGCTGCGTCGCACACGGCTGTTGCGGTGTACGCAGGCATTGTGGTGTACACGCGCGCTGTGTTGCACGCGAGCACTGTGGTGTACACAGGCGCTGTGGGCAGGTCGCCGCCTACATGCTGCTCGCGTCGTCGTCGTTGTCGTCGCTCGTCGCTCGTCGCTCGTCGCTCATCGTCGTCGTGCGCGCGGGCGCGGTTGCGGTGCCAGAACCACACGGCGGGAGGGGGCGTTACATTACACCAACCGCGCCAGGTGCGCCACGTTCGGGGCACGCGCGCAGTGTGTAGAGTGTGCCTGCGCACGTGACAGCACACATCGGGAAACATGTCGGCCCCCACCATCCGTGTCGAAAACCAACGCCCATCATTGTGTATGGTGGGCCTGCGCGCAGCAGGCCATACGCCACCACCCCCGCCGCCTCTGTCAAAAACCACTTGACAGTGATCGCGGGGTGGCCACGTCTGACCCAGGTTTAGCCGGGATGTGTCTTTTGTGTGGTTTTTTTACAGGGATGGTGGCCCTGCGCACAGCAGGCACGATGCTGACACCCCCACCGTCCCTATCAAAAAGCCATGCAAAGTGCCCGCGGGCTTCGCGAACATGACTGAAGACATTGCCCCACAGTGTATGTTGGTGTGTTTTTTGGCAGGGGCGGGGGGTGGGGGGCGCATCGGGTTTGCTGCGCATGCTCCAAATTTGGAGGCAGAGTGTGTTCTGGATTGCTTATGACAGGGGTTGTGGGGTGTGTGATCATGGTGGTCGGCACATTTCCAAGTTGGCTGCTGGTCGCTTTGGGGAGAGAGTGTGTGTTTATAGGGTGCGAGACGCTCGAGAGAGATTCCAGAGTCCCCCGAGAGATGCCAGGCATTCAGCCCCTCCCCGCAACCACCCGGCTTCGAGTAGGGGCTTCGGCCCCTAGAGGACACTAGACACATGTGCGCCAGAGCTGATGCGGATACAGAGGTTTGGCGACAGCTTGCGCCTCCTCCGCCGCTCCACCGCATCTGGTGGTAGCGGAGCTGGCAGAGGCTCCACGCGGAGCGCCAGCGCGCTTCGCACCAGACGCCAAGAAGAGAGCGAGGCCCACCCACGTGACCGAACACAGGATCCATGGGCGACGGCGAGGAGGAGCATATAGGTGTCGGCGAGTACGCAGCCCCAAGCAGACACGATGGTGGACCAGGTGCGAATACCGGACGGTATGTCCCACCATTCGTCATCCGATTTTCGTCGATCGAGGAGCTGCTCGGCATGTGAGGAGGCTGAGGAGCTGGTCCAAGGTGGCGACTGGCATCCCAGCCCAGCAGAGAGGACCCCACGCGCATTGCAGCATCCTGGAGGGCGGCGACGACCAGATCCAGAGCATCGTGGACGGCGTCGACCTGAGCAAGCTCGAGGGGCACGACGGGGTAGAAACGTAGTGAGAGCCCTCGAGCAGGAGACTCCGCCGAAGAACTTCTACGGTAATGACCTAGAGTTCCGAGCG